TTCGAAGTGGGAAGATGGCTGTGAGGACCACAATTTTTAAAAAATTTGTTAGAAAAATGTCCACAAGCAATGGACAGAAGACATCCAATGCGATGTGATTTGCTTAAGTGAGAGGTGGCCTAGCCGGACAGGGAATGGAGGTTTGGGAGGAAGTGGCCGAGGCAGGGATGACAGCGGAAACTTGGGGCTCGGGTAAGCGGTTGAGCCCCAGATCTCAGGGCTGCTGTGATATGACGAAGCTCCTGCTTTCAGGTATCAGAGCATCCGCAGAACCATGACGAATGAGAGGCCCGAGGAAAACACCACCGCCATCGATGGGGCCGGGGAGGAGGCCGACTTCCACCAAGCCAGCGCAGGTACAGAGCGGGGGGTGCTGTCATAGCACAAGAGCAGAACACAGATGAAGTAAGGATTGCCAAAAAGTGAGGCTTTTCTTGTAGAGAACTTTGGATCTTCGATACGATCTGGTAATCCAGCTCCAAAAGCAGAATTCGCCGGGGACCTCTTCCTCCTTAATCCTGGACTTTGTGTCAGTACTGAGAATAGAATCGCAGACCCACATAGGAAATAAATTGAACTCTGGATCTGTGGGCTGGTGGGCAAAGATCGAGTCTGGTCACTTAAAACACCATCAGATGCACTCAGATGTGAACTGACCGGAAATACCCTCAATTTCACTTCAGTCTAATGAAGAGCCATCAGGTTTTCTGTGTGAATGTACCTCAGAGATGGAAGTGTTGGGGGATAAAGAAATAGAGCAGTGATGGCGAACCTAGGACACGCGTGTCAGGGGTGACACGTGTACTCATTTTTTTGGTTGATTTTTCTTTGTTAAATGGCATTTAAATATATAAAATAAATATCAGAAATATAAGTCTTTGTTTTACTATGGTTGCAAAGATCAAAACATTTCTATGTGTGACACGGCACCAGAGTTAAGTTAGGGTTTTTCAAAATGCTGACACGCCGAGCTCAAAAGGTTCGCCGTCACTGAAGTAGAGCGAGTGATGTGAGTGATGAAGGTGTCCCCAGGTGGACGCGCATAGGTATGTTTCTGCCGCGTGGACGGCTCTCCCTGAACGCCTGTCTGGTCTGCCCCATGCAGACTTCCGCCGGGAGAATGTCCTGCCGCACTCTACCTCCAGATCCAGGCTCACGTTGCTGTTACAGTCTCCCCCCGTGAAGTTCCTCATCAGCCCCGAGTTCTTCACCGTGCTACACTCGAACCCCGTGAGTACTGCATCGGGAAGGATGTGCTGGGAAAAGCAGCGGGCTGTAGGACATCTTCCGTGTGTGTGTGTGTGTGTGTGTGTGTGTGTGTGTGTATGCATGTATGTATGTGTGTGTGTGTGTGTGTGTGTGTGTAGCAAAGTAGGAATGACGATAGCTGATGTTTGCCGAGCACCAGGTGTGGTCCAAGCACTGTGCTAAGCACTCCGTATGATTTGACCCATTCCTCCCAAGTTTTGAGTTAGATGAAAAGTCCTTGTTTCCAGATGAGGAAACTGAGGCACAGAGAGCCTAAATACTATCCCCGAGGTCATACCGCCGCTCAGTGGTATCGTGGAGGCTAACGTTTCAGAGATAGTGACTCCAGGGTTTATGCTGTTAAGGACCACCAGGCTGCAGTTTTTAAACTCAGTAGACTTTTATAAATACGTGCATATTCTTGGTCTCCAAACGTTAGAGATTCTGGTTTAATAGGTGTAGTGTAAGTCCCAAGAGCCCCCCTTTTTTAAGACCCCTTAAGTGATGCTGATGTAACTGGTCTGTGACCCATGATTTGGGATTTCCACGTATAAAGAGATGTTGCATTTAACGACGTCACTGCCTTCGGCACACCATAATTCACAGGACTGCTGACAACTAACTCACTTTAACGGATGAGCAGTCGCAGCAGGCTACAGGTTTCTTGTTTATTTGGCTTGCGTGTTAGCTTTGGTTTTCCGTACTCTTTTTGTGGGCATGGTTTTAAAACTTCTTTTGCTGGGCAGCCCATCTTGATTTTAAACAATTCTTCCTAAAGCATCTGAATCGTGTTTGCTTTTCCTGCCTGAACTGCATTCGTTCCTGGCTGTAAAATGATCGATGCTGTGCATCTCAGCACATCTGCAAGATTGAAACCCTGCTGGGTATTTCCCTGATTTATGCATCGTAGGAATTATAGTAGCTGGATGTTTCTTGCTCATGGTCTCAAGATATGAATTTATGGGGATAAGTCAGCCAATTTTTGGTAAAAGGCATTACTTGCTGGCAATTCTTTTTTTTCTTAGGTTAATGGAAAATGTTACAAAACAAACTTTTATTTGGTTTCCTTATTTTAAGATTTATAATCTAGCCTTTTTTTTTGCCTGAGTTGTTTATGATCTACAATTGCTCCAATAAATTTCCTGTTTATATTATTGAAAATGTTCAGCATACTAAAGGAGTGTATTAATTTAAAAGCTTCCCTAGTTCTCTTTTTTATGATTTGAAGTTATCAGTTTATGTGTTAGGCTAGTCATAAAAACATAGATTTCATATAGCAGTATTTTACTTAATCATCTTTATTGAGAAGAACATAATTAAGTAGATATATGGTTGTTATAACTCTAAAGAAAAACTGGAAAACAAAATATTGGTGTTTTTTTTTTCTGTTTTGCATTGTGGTTGCTTTAAGATATATTCTACTGCCCTCTGTTGGTTGTGATCAGATTTCTTCCAAATTGTCCCAATAAACCATTTCTCCTGATAACTCAAGATTTAATTATTAGTGTCATGTCTTTTATAGATGGTATGCCTGTGTGTGTCTAATAATTCTCACACATAAATATATCAATTATATGCAACTGAATAATGTTGCCAACATACATGCCAAATAATTATTACTCTGGCTTTTAATAAGCTCTAGAAATACATTAATTCCACCACATAAACTTTTTAGTGCTTAACCCCTAGAGTGCGAGGGAGCGCAATTGCACTCCTCCTCTCTTTTGCCAAAAGTGCCGGGAGCGCTATCCAAGCTTTGAAATGGCGTCTAGTTCTAAGTCTGCTTTTGTTAGTGATGATGATATTGCTAAATATGTCAGTGTAGTAAAGGTTTCCTTAAGTTTTTGGATATGTAACTTCATTTACTTGCGATTCATAATATTTTTCCTAAACTGCTGTAAAATCAGCAAAAATGCCTTGGCAATTTTAGCATATTTCCTAGGATATTGGTTGGCACTCAAAGAGTTAATGAAGAAAAACATTGTTCCAAAATATATAAATATGTTTTTGCAAGTCAGATATTCCTACTATTGCAAAATAGATGAATTGAGATAAGTTAATACCTTTGGTCAAGAAGTTAAAATTTCCCTCCATTTTACTCCTTAGCTGGATGAGAACAATGTAAAATCCCTATTATTAAAAATATAGACAAAATGTATAAGATAAAAATAAAGACAGACTGTGTAAGGCAGGGCTGTTTCCATATCCTAGCAATGTTACTTGATTTTGTTTATAATGAACTTCTTTAAGGTATACAGATGCTCACATCTGCTCCCACAGGTGAGAGATATTTGCTGTAGATGCAATGATGATATTTTTCAAGTGTGAATGTGGAAAACCTATTCCTGATGAAGGACTTTTGAAATATGAAAGATAGATTTTGTTTAGCGGTAACGTGCTTACCTGTGTTATTGAACAGAACAGACCGGGCCAGGTGATGCAGGACATACAGTCACCATAAAACAGCAACAGTAAAACCTGCCACAAAAGGAATCGGTTGATTGACACAAACTGGATGTTTACATGTCCTTGTCTTATTCTGCTGCCCAATGGCAGTAGCATTCCCCTCCGTTTCTCTCAGTATCTTTCACTTCTAACACCTCAAACACTGAGGCAAACAACACGCATTCCGCTCTAAGGAGTGTGACTCTAACACAACTGCACTGAAACATCCAGGTGACCACTAAGCTGACTGACCAGTCACTCAGCCATCGGGCGTTCATTTCTTGCTGGGAGGACATCACCAAGAGGGAGGCTGGGAAAGGGCGTTTTGGGACAGAGAAGGACTAACCAAAAAGTATGTTTTGAATCACATCAAAGGACAACAAAACCTGTGCCATTTAGAGATTCAGAGGGGCTCTGTCCGCTATTAACAACCGACTACCGACTCGCCTTACACGCAGCAGCTTCCGGGGAGCTCAGCCCGTGCGTTCCCCCGAGACTGTGCTGTGAAGCAGGCCCTTTGCCCTGCCCTAACCTCCTGCGTTTCAGGTGGGAAATCACATCCCCTCACAGTGAAGCACCTTTTTCTATGAGACCAGGACACAGCACAGCAGAGAACGACCCGCAGACAGAGCGGGGTCCTCACCAGTGAGGACCACGAGACGAGAAAGACAGAGGCTCCTTTTCCTTGTCGCTGTCTGCGCTTTCGCTCCGGTCCCACCTGCTCAGTGTTCCTGGCTCTCTGGACCCCTGTCCTTAGCTCTGCTCGTCCTGTCGGTGGGATTCAGTGCTTTCACCCCCCTGTGGCCTTTGGTTTCCCAAACTCTGCTTTCTGCCTCGGCGAGCCTCTTCCTCCCTCCTGCCCCTGCAATTCTCCTTCTCCATCCTTTTGAGTCATCAGGCCGTGCTCATCTCTGAGTCCTCGAGGTCTTTAGGTCAGGGCTTAGCACATAATTCATGAAAAGGGATGAGACCCTTCTTCAGTTCATAGGAAGTGGGATTCTGACTCAAGATCATCCAAGTTCTCAGAGTAGAAAACAACTTCACTGCTATCATTTATCTCTTATAGATTTGGTAGGTATAATCCCATATATATTCATTTACTTACGTATGCTTTGTATTTTTAGAGTTATTTTTACCTCTTTATAGATCTTTTAGATCCTTGTCCCACTGGATTTGAATCCTACAGACTTATGAAGAGAGCAGGACAGTTATTATCTCATCCTACAGCTGGGCCAATGGAGGCAGAGGTTAAATGACTTCCTTTGTCTCTGTCATGAGTGACAGGACTGTGACTAGAATCTTCACTACAGGACAATATTAACTGAGTGTATTAATATGTTTTTGATTCACATATATATACATATGTACATAAATATATGCACATATACACAAATAGTATATATATTGAATAACATGTAAAATATATTCAAAAATAGAATAGACTTATCCTATCTAATAAAAGAGCAATATGCCAATTAACTGTCACTCCAACATAAATATGGCAGTGCCCAGTCCGCTGGAGTCCTCCAGTCCCGGGGGGTGGTCGCAAGAGCAGGGCCCGCTTGGCTGTCGCTGTGGCGACCTGGGAGCAGGCAAGCGGGCCCCACAGACAGCAGAGAACCACGGGGAGCAGACCTAAGCTGTCAGTAGGACATCCCCTGAGGGCTCCCGGATTGGAGAGGGTGCCGGTTGGGCTGAAGGACCCCCTCCCTGCCCCACTGTGCATGAATTTCGTGCACTGGCCTCTAGTATGTGAATAAACCTATATGTAGTTTCTTCATCAAAGTGTAGCGTCTGGAGGGGTGTTTCTGTTTGGCCAAGTGTTCTGCATGGGCCCTAATAGTCACTGCATGTTGCACAGCCTGGGAAAACCACTGATGCTCGAGGTTGCTTGCCAGTTCCTAAAGAGAGAAATCTTCCTTACAGTTAATTTGCTTTGGTCGATGCTTTTTGCAAAGATCAGTTGAGCTTGGCACTTTATTACATGTCTCATTGAGTGGAGAGGAGGAAGATGAAAGGCTGTAATTAATTAGAAGAGCAGCCTGAGACTCAGGTGCGGAGAGCTGTCCAACTCCAGGGACTCGCTTCCAGCCGGAGGCTGGGGTGGGCTCCTCACCTCATTACGGCCACTGCTTGTCCTAATGAAGTTCTGCTTCTTCCCTGTAGCGATTGAGGAGCAGTCCTGATGCTCCAGATAAAGGTCAGGATGTGGCCTATTGAGTTGCTTTAATGTGGAGAGAGAGAAATGATGGGGATCAAGAGATGTGCCGATTTACAACAATGGCTAATGTAATGATTTATTGGACGGAGTTATCTCACCATCATTTGTCCCCGAAGAGACGTACTGGGGTCTGTGACCTGGGAGCTCATTGCTGTTGCCACCAGACAGGCCGGTGTGGTCTCGGGCCTCGGAGCTTGCAGGGGCTTCTGTGGAAATAGATGGCCGCTCAGAGCCAAGTGCAGCAACCAGAGGCCTTGCCGAGTGTTCGTTCAGCGCCAAGGCAGGGTCAGCCATGGGCTAAGCTATTAATTAGCTAACGTCTGCCTCTCACAGCCTTCGACTGCTTTTATTAGCCTCCGTCTCTTCTTTCATGCTATCGCCTTCTTTTCTCTCATGCCCTCTAATTGCCCACAGCCCTGTGCAGGCATGCCGGCTTGGCAGACTCTGTGCTGGGCACCTCAGTTTCTCACAGCCGTCAGAGCCTGCTTTCGGTTAGGCAGGTTGAAATGTGACCTCCAAATACTGTATACTCAGGCGTATTAGGGAACTAGACTACGCTAGTATTTGAGAATGGTTCAATGTGCCCTTCCTTCCTTCCCTCTTTCCTTCCTTTCGTCTTGAAAGGAAGAAAATATTTTAATGCAAAATACAAAGTATATAGTGAGTGAATCAATCAGAATAACTACATAATAGTTTTATACTAGAAGCTGGTGCACAAAATTTGTGCATGGGTAGGGTCCCTAGGCCTGGCCGGCGATCAGGGCCGATCTGTGGATTGACTGGAGGGGCAATTGGGGGGCATCCACTAGCACCCACCTTGGCTGGCCTGGGGCCTGTGGGCTGGGGGCAGTTCCTGCATTGAGCGTCTCCCTCCTGGTGGTCAGTGCACGTCATAGCAACCTGTCGTTTTTTTCCATTTGGTCGACTTGCATATTAGGCTTTTATTATATAGGATAGTGTAGGTTACATGTCAGTAATGGCAATAGCACATCTCATTGACAAACTAACAAAGCTGTGTTTTGCATTGCAAATTCGATTGTCAGGTTTCTATGATCTCGGTAGCCACTCAGAGCAGAGACCCCAGGGGCCCAGGCTGGGTCCCTTTCCAAACATTGCCAGTCACTGTGCCAAAGGAAAGAAAGCTCAATAGGGACTCACGTTGGCAATGAATGTGTTGACCTGGACATGACATGTCTCGAGGGACCCTGGACACTTAGGAGCAATGTGGACAGTCCTCATACTCACTTATCTATTGTCCTCAGTCACTACCACAGTACTGGGCATGGCAGAGGCAGAGTGACATGATGTCCAGGGATTCTGGTTTCTGTGCAGTTTGCCTTAGTCTGTCTTAGACGGAAATTAACATAACCCAGGAAGTAAAACCTGTAGGTCTCCAGATCCAGGGAAGAGGGATTGAAAGCCCTTTGAACCGACCTGAGAATGGAGTTTAATTTCAGGACAGAGCATGCCTGGCCAGGTCAGTTTCATAGTTATTCCTGTTCCCTCCTTGGCACATGGTATTGTGCAGCGAGTGTTTGTTGGCTGACTTCTATGTGGACCACCCATGGCTTATGGTCCGTTTTCAGGATATTCCTTAGGTAGCATAGAGATGAAGACTGTGGCGTTTTTGACAAAACACTTTTTTGTGTGGTTGTGTAGTTGAATTTTATTACATGTGCATTTTCAATAATATAAATTGGGCCATATATGTGTGTGTGTGTGTGTGTGTGTGTGTGTGTGTATCTGTATATACACATATACAGGAAAAATGGAAAGAACATATATATGTAAGAGGTATAAAGTCCAGATAGTGCTGTCTTCCATTCCATTCCCTGGGCTTAGGCCTCACTCTCCTGTGGTCTCAGATGAACACAGCTCAGCTGTGAGAGCAGCTCAGCCACATGGCATGTGCTTCTCATACTCAAGCACATGGCCGAGCACTTTTCCCACCTGACTTCTAAGTGTGTGCCAGCTTCTTCGTGGGCACTCACGTGAGTGATCTGTCCCGATGCTGGGGCGAAGCTGGCTCTTTGGGGGCTCACTGGAAGGGGGTATATTTGTCTTCAGCCCGGTGTGATTTTGACTATGTATTTTTTTTTTTATGCCTAAAACCAACGTTAGGTGAAAATGTCGGACCTGACAGTCCCTACAGAGTGAGACTCCATGGCCTTCGTACTCACTAGATACCTAGACCTCATCGGGAAAGACGGCCTTGCTTTCTGTAGCCTTTCTATATGATTTTGATCAAAACATGTTGTTCTGTGTCTGCCCTTCCCGTGTGTGGGTCTAGAGCTAGGTGGGAGCCTATCTGCCCACCAGAGGAGTAGACACACCCATGTGTATATGTGGCTCCTGCCTGCCCCAGGGGTTAACCTTGGTTCTCCATCCTTTCCCCAGAGTGCCTACCGCATGTTTACAAACAACACGTGTTTGAAGCACATGATCACCAAAGTCCGGCGGGACACCCACCACTTTGAACGCTACCAGCACAACCGGGACCTTGTGGGATTTCTCAACATGTTCGCCAACAAACAGCTGGAGCTGCCCAGGGGCTGGGAAATGAAACACGACCATCAGGGCAAGGTAACATGCAAGCGGCCTGGGCACATGGCCCTGCCCTTCGCGTCGGGGGGAGGCCCTTTGTGAGGCGACACAGGCCATCTCCTGGGCTCAAGCGAAACCTGGACCAGCAGGCTGTCTCTAAAACGGTCACCACACACCTCGGAAGCAGTGTGTGCAGAGGACAGCGTGGGGGCTTTTGCTGGTGAGACAGTCGTGTTTGCCTGGATACGCTTCCTCCTGTCACCTCTCACCATCTTCTGCTGATCAGAGAAGAGGTGTCTTCGGTGATGGCACTTCCTTCTCCCAGCTAAACAGCTCGTGTGATGGAGAGTTGGATAACAGTTGTAGTGTTTGGAGACGGTGGCTAGGAGGTTGCTAAGAAAACACACAAGGTGTGCCTTTGTGACGCTGTCCGGTTTTGGGCCTCAGTCCTGTTGGTTCAGATCCTGGATTTTGTTAGCATGTCAGACAGGAGCACAGGTGGATTCGTGTGTGATAGCAACGCGTAGCTGGTCACACAGGCCGGGGGAGCCACCTGTGCAGTTACTTCCTTTGTAGATGGTGAACCGGGAAGCCAGGTTGTAACCAGGAGCTTGTCCCATGAGCACAAAATCGGAATGAGGAACTTGGTCATTTTTGTAAGGGGTTCCTCAGCTGAGATGCTATTTATCTGATTCTTGTTTAGCACCACTGGGAGCCATGAACATTCTAAGC